TACGATCTCACCAACAGTGTAAAAGTGTTGCTTTTTCTCCACATCCTCTCCATCATTATTGTTAACATTATTTTATATATTGTTTATATTCTTGATGACTGCCATTCTGACTGATGTGAAATGCAATCTCAGTGTGGTTTTGATTTACATTTTCCTAATTGCTAATGATGTTGAACATTTCATACATAGGCCTTTTATGTTTCTTATTTTGAGACATGTCTGTTTAATTCATTTGCCCATTTATTAATTGGGTTATTTAGAGTTTTGTTGTAAAGCTTTTTGAACTCTTATGTCTTCTAGATATTAATCCTCTGTCAGAAAAGTAACTAGCAAGGAATTTCTCCCATTCTGTAGGTTCTGTCTTCACATTCCTAATTATTCCCTTTGTTGTGCAGAAGATTTTTAATTTTATGCTGTCTCATTTATTGACTTTTGCCATTCTTTGGGGATCTTCTGAGAAAGTTGTTGCCTGTGCCTAAAAATTGGAGGGTTGACCCTACATTTTCTTCTAAAAGTTGCATAGTTTCTAGTTTAATTCCTAGGTCTTTGATCCATTTTGAGTTGATTTTTGTTCAGGGTGAGAGATAAGAGTCTAGTTTCATTTTTCTGTATATGTATAACAAGTTGTCCCAGCTTCATTTGTTTAAAAAGACTGTCTTTTCTCCAATGTATGTTTTTAGCAACTTTGTCAAAGATTAGATGACTATAGATGTATATGTTTGTCTCTGTGTCTTCTATTCTGTATCAATGGTCTATTTGTCTGTTTCTTTGCCAGCACCATGCAGTTTTTGGACTTTTTTCTAGTCCTTTGAAGAACGTCATTTGTATTTTGATGCAGATTGCATTGAAACTGTATATTACTTTTGATAGTATGGCCATTTTAGTAATATTAGTTCTGCTTATCCATGAACGTGGGAGATCTTACCATCCTTTGAAGTCTTCTTCAGTTTCTTTCTTCAGTCTTGTTTAGGTTTCATTGTAGGGATCCTTCACCTACTTGGGTAAATTTGTTCCTAGGGTTTTTGTTTGTTTTTTGTTTTTGGAGGCTATTGTAATAGGGGAAGTGTTTTCCAGATTTCTTTCTCAGCAGATTAATTATCGATATATGGGAAAGCTATTGAATTTTGTATGTGTCTTTATCTGTCTGTGATACTGGCTTCTTCCTTTCCTATTTTTAGCCCTTTTATTTCCTTCTCTTGCATAATTCCTCTGGCTAGAATTTCTAGCTCTTTATTAAGTAAGAATGTGAGGGTGAATATTCTTGTTACAGATTTTAAAGGAAATGCTTTCAGTTTTTCCCCATTTACTATGAGGTTGGCTTTGGATTTTTCATACTTAGCCTTTTTGATGTTAAGGTAGATTTCGTCTCTCCTGGTTTCTTCAGTGTTTTTATCATGAATGGGTTTAATCATGAATGAGCTAAATTTTGTTGAAAGCCTTCTCTGCATCTATTGAGATGATTAAGTGATTTTTGTCCTTAATTCTATTTATGAGGTAAAATCCGTTTATTGATTTGCATATGTTGAACCATCCTTGCATCTCTGGGATAAAACCAACTTGGTCATGAAGCACAATCATCTTAATATGTTGTTGAAAATGATTTACTAATATTTTATTAAGGATTTTTGCATCAGAGTTCATCAGGGATATTAGTCTTATTGTTCTTTCCTTGATGTGTCGTTATCTGTATGAGTGTGATACTTGCTTCACAGAATGAATTTGGAAGTGTTCCATCCCTTTGTATTTCATGTAATTATTTCAGGAGTATTGGTATTAGTTTTTCTTAAAGATTTGGTAGAATTCAGCTGAGAATACACATTCTGCATTTTAAAAATGGTTTATAAATTGATTTATACACAGTCTTTCAGTAATGTATCACTTGCACACATCATTAACTTGGATAATTCAGACTCATTATAATTAAAGCACATTGAAGTTCAAATTTACTAAGAAATGTTGAGATTTATGAAAAGTCATAGAGTACTGTGATAAATACTCATGCACCCACCATTCAATTTAAGAAATAAAATATTACCAGCTTAGACTCCCTGTACCTCTTCTCAGCCTCTTGCACTTCCATCCTACCCTAGCAGAGGGTGATATTGAATCATTAAAGTACATTCCTCATTCAGTTTCTACCCGTGTTTATAATTCTGAGCATTATATGGAGTATTTTCAAATTAGAATATGGATAGTATCATAGTATGTGTATTCATTTTTGCTTTTCCCCCTTAAGTTTATAGTTATTAAGATTCATCCGTGTTGATAAGTGTAATTTTACTTTATTTTTAAACTTATTTTGAACTATCCAATCTTTTAATCATTCTCCTATTGATGAACATTTCGGTTGTCTCTAATGGCTTTAATATTACAAATAAAGCTAAGAATATGCTTTAAAAAGTCCTCATTAAGTCAACTAATGTTGTAAATTTGGAAATTTAAATATTTTGGGAAGAAAATGTACTATTTTTGTAATCTTTGTGTATTTTGTCCTAATGTTTGGAATCCAATAATAAATGTGCTAATTATATTCCTGTTGGTTGAATTAGCTTGGTTATTTTTTGTAACTGATTTTGCTTCTAAAGAAAATTTGAAACAATATACATTTAAACAGAAAACTCTTAAGGCAAAATAAATACTAGTGGCTATGTTGCTTCTGAAAACCTAGACTAAATCTCACATCATCTAAGTCTAATAATATACAGACCTCCTTCTGTGACAGATTACTATCTCCTACCAGCAGTATTACTTACTATACATATTTCAAAATAATATTTGAAACATGATATTTGAAAAAGTCTCTTTTAAATGTTGAAAGTTAATTTTTGATTCAATTTTGATCTCAATTAAAGATAAATTGTAGCCACGTGCGGTGGTGCCAGTGGCTGTAGAGGCTGAGGCAGGAGGATTGTGAGTTCAAAGCCATCCTCAGCAAAAGCAAGGCACTAAGCAATTCAGTGAGACCCTTTCTCTAAATAACATACAAAATAGGGCTGGGGATGTGACTCAGTGCCAAGTGCCCCTGGCTTCAATCCCTGGTACAAAAAAAAGAAAAAAGAAAAAAGAAATTCTAGACTTCAGATGATTCTGTTTTTAGAAAAATGTGTATAAATAGTGGTGAATGGTATATTGACAAGATACTTAGCCAATTAAAATAAAAATCAGGTGCCATTAATGAGTTCTGATGTTTAGAAATTGTGACAAAATGATTTTAAAAGGAAGCTCAACTGTCTTCCTTTTAAGGGAGGTCCCTTGAAATGCAACTGCTTAATCTCTTTATCAGTGTTTGGACAAATTACTAAAACATCTAGCCCTCTGAAGGCTTTACCCTGTTTATAAATTGTAGGAGTTATTGGCCTCTACCCAGATTCAGATGTTAGAGATTAGCCTAAAAGCTGAGTCCTGATTGAAACAGATTTAGGTAGACTAAATGCTGAGCCTTTCCAATTCACATTGCTGTAATCTATTAGATTTCACTGAATGAGGCACACGAGGATGCTATAATAAAAACCTTTGATTTTTATTATAAAGGGTCCCTAGAGTCAAGATGTATGCCTATGGACATTGTGTTTCTCAGTCCATATAAGTGCTTACATAAGTTAAGAAAATACATGCCAATCTCTTGTCAGACTGGTATTCCAGAATAAGACTGTCCCATTAGAAAATTGAGCCGCCTTTGGCCAAGAGGAGGTATTATTTTTCTTTGTTTTCATGAAAAGGGCTTATGATTCTCAGAACTTATTTTTTTCAAGGCAATTTAGATTGAATTCATTCATACTCAGAAGTATCCTAAAAAGCTGTAATCTAACTTTTACAATGCATGTTTTATAGCAACCCACACCTGATGAATTTTGAAAAGTCATTTACAGAACATCAATTTTCATAATCAGACCTTGGTTTCTAAAACCTACATGGTTCTATCATATGGAGCCTATAATTAATAGCAATTATATTTTCAAAACAGTAACTTTGCCTTTTTGTAACAAGTCTTTCTTGATAATCTCTTAGGAGACAAGTGCATAACTGTCAATTTTGGATGAGGGGATTCAGCTTCAAAGTAATTTACATTTGCAAGCTTTCTTGCAGTTTAGATATGCTGCCATCAGGTGGTAGTAATATGTCATATCCATGTGACTTCACAGATGACACTCTGCTAAAAGGTCACCAATTTATACCACAATGATTTATAAATATGCATGTGCAGAATTATATATAGAAATTAAAACAACAGAATACATGTTGTTTTATCAGAGTTAGGGATGATTTCACTGGAATTTTTAAACATATTTCTAAAATTCAATTGAATCTTAGCTTTTTTGTTTTCTTTTTTTTAAACTAAGCATTTCATTTTGGGCCATAAAAACACTTAGAAAATATAGAAAAGTAAAATTTAAAAACCAAATATAATTGTCATTAACCTTTTGCTTCATTTCCTTCCAGTCTTTTTTTTTTTTAATGTTTAGTATGGATTTTTCTGAAGTTGGGTGACTTCAGAAATTATTTAGATGTAGTTATCCTTTTAAACTCACAAGGTCTTTGTAACTGCTTCACAACTTCTTAATATTCCAGTATTGAAGTTTTTCCTAATTGGTATCACCATTCACCTGTTGGTATATAATGAAAGTTTCTGATTTTCATAATCATCAGAATATTTTTTTCTCTGCCATCCATCCACTACCTATCAAGAGAGCCATTATTACATTGTATCTATGGTTGATATTTGTTTTGACACAAATAATTTCTAATTCATCTGTAAGTAGCTTGATATTTTCTATTTATTGCATTTTTTTCTGTTAGAAAATTTGAACTTTGTTTTCATGTGTAAATGAAAATGTGTAGTCCTTTTGTTATTATTTTCATATCATATGACTGTTTATACTTTTTATACTTTTGTCAATTGTATACAACCAGGTACTACAAACAAACATTTCAGGCCCTGTGATATTCTGAAATGTAGCAATTACCTACTTTCTACAAAAATAATTTATTTTTTTTTATAGCATAGAATCCTGCATTAAAGAAATACAATCTGAAGTTAACAAACAATGCCCAGATGTACAGCTGCAAACATCAACTGACTGCTTTGAATGGCTAACTAGCTATCATCATAATACATCTAAGTCACCTTCCATTCCCCATGGAGATCTGATAAAATTCCTCAAAACACTGGTAAAAATAAACAACCAAAAAAATTTTATTTTATTATGGAATGGGGTGGGTGAACATAGATAGATAATGCAGTTTCTTCTATTTCTATGTATAAATATTTATTTTAGTGATGATATTAGGTTTATGTTTTTGTTTTGTTCCTATATCCCTAATATAATCCAGTGAGCTATTTGCTTTTTTAAATCAAAAAATGAAATTTTATGTAAATGAAGGTTAAATTTGTAATTCCTAGGTGATTGGTAATATGATGTATGGCATATAAGTATCAAAAACTATAACGGTGTGTACTGCAGTTGTCTGCCAGAGAAATTCATACTCATTATATTTTGTGTTATTCACAACTATTAATTTTCTCTATGTTCAGCATTAAACATAGTAAGATCCACATCAATCATATCTTTTAAGTGGCCTTATCTGTCATTCTCTGTATTTGCAACCTGTACTCATACCCAATTCTTTTCAATCAAGTCAGCAATTTATATAAGACCACTGTTAATTAATGGAGAATTATTATATTATTTTTCCTTTGATACTGGCCACCATCTACATTAGAGAAGTTTTATCCTTCAATAAGAATAGTTGTTTTATTACACCTACATCTACAATGGTGGCTTGCTTACAAAACAAAAAGATTCCCAGAGAAACAGTACAATTATTAGAAAGCAGTATTTCTGGAGCCCATGATTTTAATTTAATTTAAGGGGGAAGAAAGGCATACAGTTCTTGTCTAAACATCAAACATTGACTAAGGCAGATGTGGAAAATATTTTGAGGTTGTAGATGGCTTAGGATGACAGAATCAGATGAAAATAGTTTTTGGCTGTTGTTATTATTACAGATGTCTCTTTAATGTTTACAAAGTAATAAAAGGAAGAGAAAGGAAGGCTATGCCCTCAAGCCTTAATCTTTTAAGAAAATCCTCTCACCCATTATCACTTGAAGGTGGAGCCTTGAAGAATAAATATGGATATAGTTATTTCTTTAATTTCTATTAAGAACCATGTGTATTGAATTTCATTAATATTGATGTAATAATGCTTTCTCATTTAATTAAAAGCAAGAGCTTTTAATTATCTTTTAATCTGTCACACATAAGTCATTCTCTATTCACTGCAGGGCAAAGGCCACCTTAGTTTTGTTCAAACTCATTAGTCTGATAGGCTTGTGCCAGACTTAGGGTTTTTTTTTTGTTTTTTTTTTTTTTACATAATTGAGCATGTTATTTTGAGGAAAGAACCACATTATTAAAACAGATCCAGATTAAAATGACCTTATTATCAAGTTTCTCCATACTAAAAGTGTTGATTTTGATGGCATTTTTCATATATTTATTTTTTCATACAAAATTTATATTAATTATCTAGCTATTTAAATAAGAAACAAAGGCTCTCATGCCAATTATGGTGAAGTTATTTTCAAAATTTAAGCAATCATACAAAACACATATTTTAAACCTCTGTAATCTATTATTTTTTGTCTGATCAAATATTTACACTTATTAACTGACTTAACAAAGCCCAAGGCTGAGCACTAAGATGATCATTTGCCTTGTAGAATTAATCTTAATGTTGACATGTCACAGACTCCACCTAAGGACATTTCTTTCCAGAAGTATCAAAAGAACTAATAGCATGAGAGAAAAAGAAGAAGATACAGAAAGGTTATATTCACTCTGTAGTCCTCTAGATTATGATAGGAAGAAATACAGATGAAGAAAATGAAACCAGGAATCTAGTCTTGGTTCTCTGCCTTCTTATGTGTGAAGTTTGAAAATCATTTAAGCATACTTCATATTAGTGTCCTTATTTGTAAACTGGGTTTTTAATATCTATGCCATGGAGTTTTCATTCTGAATAACCCAGAGAATATATAGAAAATACTTTTTATGAAATAAAAATTATAGATATTAGGTATAATTATTACACATAGAACATTAAATTCCGCATTGTAAAGCTTAGAATGACCCAAAAAAAAAAAATACCAGAAATTTGTCTAGGAGTTGTTCATTATTCTGAATCACACGTAATACCTGTAATATCTTTACTAATAATTAATTTCAAAACCAGCCTGATTTTCACACCACTTGGGCTTTACTTCCATTTCTCTTGTAATCAGCTTGTTTCTACTTAGAGAATATAAACTAATTTCAGTATTAGCTGAAATAAATATAATTAGAAAAGTCAGAATGTAAGGAAAATGTGTTTATGTGATTCAAAATCCAGGAGTAATTTTTGTCCTTTTATTATATGTATTTATACTCACCATTGTTTTCTATCAGCATGGAAAGTATAAAGGAATAATTTCATATCATGTTTTGAGGAGTGATTCTGAGAGTATCTTTATCCCATTTTGATTTAGTTATTTCTTTGGAGAGAAATAAAATATTCTCACATCCTTAACATGGTTCTCAGAAAGGAATTTAAATGAAAGTTAAAATCTTTCAATGTATTAAATTTTATTTCTCAGGATGGTAGCTATTAGTAACCCCTAGACACATACTATATTTGAAGATCTCTGTTCTATTTCAGAATGATTTTAAGCATTATATGTTCATTTGGGATTTTATAATAATAAGTGTACTCATTCAGGCATGAAAATTATATGCCAAGAATTAATTACGGGGCATGATCTTGAATTTATTTTTTCTTAAGTATACATTTCAATCAACATTTTACTATACATTTTTTTTATATAGAATTTTTAAGCTGCACCCTTCACACAGCTTAGGTTATATAATTTGTAACATTAAAAAGTACCTGTCTAGAAATGTAGCTGAAAAGATATTTAATCAGCTGGGCTTTATAAAATTTACAGATCATGAGAGCTAATATTCTAAAATATCTGAATTGATTAAATTCCAAATACAAAAAGAAAGAAAAAGTTTTGAAGAGCAAAAGAGTATTAAATCTAAATTGAAAAATATATGAAATTGTACATCTTTATAGAAATGATATTTTCATGTTGTACTTTGATTTAATCACATTTCTAAATTTATGATTTACTTTTATCAGCAAGATTTCTTGAAGAATGAACAAAATCAAGAGGAAATGATTCTGGATTTACTTTGGGACCTCTCCTGCCGAAGCAGTGTTTCATTCCCGTCGTCTCTAAGTGAAACATGTTTCCATTTGCTTTCTAGAACTTCTCTTAATTCTGTTGAAGATCATTCCTCTGTAGATGTAAAGTCTGTATGGGATGATATAAGACTGCATCTTCGACGCTTCTTAGTAAGCAGATTACAAAGCCATAATGAAATAAATAATTCACAGCAAAAAATGATATTGAAAAACCAACGCATACAGCAACTCTTGTTTCTCTATCCAGAATCAGAAGTTATTGTCAAGTACCAAAACATACAGAATAAACTGTTGGCTAAACTTCTGCAGAACTGCTTTCCTTCTTACAGCAGAGATTCAAATTTAGATGTAATGGCTCATGGATTCCAAAATACAATGTTTACATTATACTCAATGATAAAAGAGGATTTTGACACACTGTATGAAATTTTAGCTCCATCCTCAACAGTGAAATTCATTAAAGAAACTTACCTGGATACAGTTACAGAAGAAATGACAAAATTTCTTGAAAATTTTTGTGAGTTGCAGTTCAAAGAAAATACTGTTCGTGTGGTTAAAACAAGCAAGAGCTCCAGCAAGCATAGAGGAGCAGTGCATGCTTTGGGTTAGTGACATTTAAATTTTTTGATTGGTTTAATTTAATCCTTTTGATATCTTTTCTGGGTTTTTGTTGTTTGGTTAAATCTCATTGAAATTTCAAAAAATAAATGTAATGAACTTTTGCAGTATACATTTCTCTTATGCATTCTTTTTCTGTAAGTATACTCATAGAGTGTTTTCTTTTCTGTTTAATTGTTAATGGTATTGAAAATGTAAGTCAAAGTTTTACAAATAAGAGTTTCATTTCTCTTGCTTGCTTATACCAAATGTTAAAGTACTAAGCCAAACACACACATAAACAAACATGCAGTTATATGTATAACAAAAAAGCATAGTTTGTAATCCATTGTATCTTCCAAAGCCAAAGCATTATTAAGGAAAATTTGTTGAAATTTGCATTAACTAAAATTGGAAGTTTAAAAATTATAACTAAATTTTAGTCATCCAGTTCTAATAAATAGCAATTATGAAATATCAATTATAAAATTCTACATTATAATTGCTTAGGAAGGCACAGCATTTTACTTATAACTTTAATTACAATTTAACATTAACTATAATTTTAAACATTCTTCTAATATTTCAATAAGAATATATTAAAATAAAAATTTTAAATTTCCTACTTTTACTCAAAAGATATAGGGAAAAAAAAAGAAGTTATTATGATGTAATACCCTTCCTCTTCGTGGCTTTAATTTTCTATCAATGCAGAAGAATCAAAACTAACAATATGATTATTTCAAAAGTACTTATTGGTCCAGGCAAATGTCTGTAATCCCAGCATCTTAGGAGGCTGAGGCAAGAGAAGTTCACAAGTTCAAGGCATCCTTGGCAACTTACCAAGACCCTGCATCAGAATAAAATACAAAAAAAGCCTTATTTGTAGGTTAGTGGTAGAGTGCCCCTGCTTTCAATCCCCAGTAAGGCAAAAAAAAAAAAAAAAAAAGTAATCATTAGTTATGATACTATGAGCTGTATTTCCAAGTAGGTTTGTAAACTATATTACCTAAGTACTTGAAAATTATGTTTTGGTGAATTGATATAGATCTTTGTATTTATGATCTTTTTAAAAATTTCCATAATTTCACCAAATTTTTACTTAATGTCATTAATAAAATTTCATGATACCAAATTAATATGTTATATGAATATTAAAAGATAGCAATATTTTCTCTTAAAATTTTTATTTTTATCTGGAAGCTGAATCATATTGCAGATCAGCATTGCATTAGCCAGTTTGGGTTATGCCAAAATAATTTAGAGACATTGCAGTTTTGCTCAAAACAGATTTCATTCATGAGTGCACTTGTTTTCTAATATTTTTATACTTTCTAAAAAACTTCTAGCCTGCTTGTGTTTTCAATATGGAAGTTTTATATGTGCTTAGTATAGTTTACAAAAGAAGAAAAGATCCAGATGGTTGAAAATATTATAAATTACTATGGAGTCTTTAGCACTGATATTGAGGTATTTTTCTCCCTTTGCTGAGAGAAGAGAATGTGGGCCTGCTTTAACTCTAGAATTGCAAGCATTTTCCACAAGTCTGACTGCACAGATCGTTCTCAAGCTCCATTGTCGGAGCTAGGTATAAATCACTTGTTAAATGAGCCCTTTCCATATGCCAGGCACTGTGTAAGGACAACCTATTCCTTATTATCCCAATTTTCTGAACAAAGAAAGGAGCTTAGAAAAATTAACTTGCTCAGGATCATCGTGTATGAGGTCAGAATCATATTCAAAATCAGAATTTATAGGCAATTCTTTGTATCTCCAATATCTCTGTTCTTAACTATCAAGCTATTGGATCTTGTCTCAAAGTATAGAATCACTTGTAAAAGAAATTTCACAGAGCACTGTTCAAGCAAACTTCCTGAAAAGTTTATTTCAGTTTTATTAACCACCTACAATAAGAAAATCTTTTTAGGAGCTACCATGTTTAAGATTCTGTGCCAGACACAGAATTGGGAAGAAAACTAAATAAGTCACTGCTGCTATATGAGAAATGCTAAACTCACTCAAAAAGATCAACCATGTTTTTCTCTAATATTTGACCCAATGTTGAAATTTTATTTATTAAAAAAAATGCAGCTTTAAGATGAGCAACAATAATTTATATTCATAGTTGAATAAAATCTAGATTGGCTTGAATGGGATATATATTATATTGTCTCTATCTTTATGCTCACCAAAGATATGATATTTTGCCTGATATTATAAAAACAACATTCCTTATGTAACTTGTATTGGTTCAGACAGTGATGTTCAGTATCTATTTAATGTTTTGTTATTAACCCCCTAACAACATAGATGTCATTGTTAAGCTCCATTTTACAGTGAGGCAACTGAGAGATAGATATTTTAAGTATTCTTTTGAAGATCCCAAAATGAAGTAGGATTCATATGCATGGTATCTAATTCTACAACCCTGACTCTATAACTGTGCTTTATTGACTAAAACTCAGATGGAAATAGCATAGCCCATTTAAAAACACTTCTCTGAATGCTCTGTATGCTTCCTTAGCGTCAACATTGTCATTATTTTATTCTTCTCCAAACTCTCCTACCCTCTTCTCATTTGAATACTTCAAATCCCAATTTAAAGTATGTTTGTTTATAATTCCTCTTCAGTGATCTATTAATATATGTTAATCAGGATTTGTGTATATACTATAGTACTAAGCTAATATATTCTCTATTTGTGTAGATACCTACACTTTTCTTGATGAGTTTGGACCTATTGAACCTTTAATTACCTCTGATTTCATATTTAGATTGAAGACTGATTGTTCTTCCCTGAATGGTCTATAAATTATCTATCTATATTACTTGAATATCAAAAAAATGATTACTGCTTATTATTAAGATTTTACAAGATTTTATGTGTGTTAGCTCAATTGATCTTCTGAACAGCTCTTCACATTATTCCTATATACTTTATATTTTAGAAAACTGAGACTCGGGTAAATATTTCCCAAGGCTGTACAACTAATCTAATAAGCCAAATAAAGGAGCTTCCTCTGTGTTTTGGTATATGAATGTGTGTGTGTGTGTGTATGTATTTTTTTTCAGTGCTGGGGATTGAACCCAAGCCTTGTGCCACTGATTTATGTCTCCAGCCGTATTATTTTATCTTGATATGCCACAAAATCATGTCAGAAACTGTGCATGACACTGTGATAATTAGCATTAAAAAATTATTCACTAAATGCATTCCCACTTTTTAAAAATTTTACATTCCTGTAATTATAGGCAGTACTCATTGAATGTTTTCATTTTTCTTTGTCTTTTTATTATAACTGACATAATTTGCTTATGTTTATTACCTCGGAAACTGATTAGGATGGTTTTCATCCTAGCCTAGCCTAGCCTAACTATCCTATTTTTCCAGCTGGTCCCTGGGGTTAAACGTTCACCTGGGCACCCCAGAATATCCTTTGTAACTAGTTCAGGCTCTTTTTTGACATTCACTTAAAATGTGGTGATAATCTTGCTGTCTCTTCTCTTATGATAAGGTACCAGGTATATATAATTTATTTATATATGAGCTTGTCCCTACACTTTAACTCCCCAACTTGGCATTGTATGGTAACCATTTTTCTCCTTTTTATTCCTATGGTTTTGAATGTCTTATTTCTTTGAAAGCATTTGCTGTTTTAGTATTGTAATACATTTGGAAATGTATAGATTATATTTTTAGTTTTTTGTTCTTTGAAGGAAATGATGAAATAATATTGATGTATGTGTTATAAAATCTTCAATTTGCTGATTTTTCCTAGAAAAGGATATTGCTCTTATAAACTTACAAAGTTTGAAGAATGATTTAAGAACCATTATTTTCTTAATAACCCTGATTTTACTAATCTGTATTCTTATTACTTGTCTTTTAATATTTTGCAAGAAAATTATCTATTATTTCTTAAAGGGTTTTGCTACAATATTTTGTTTTTTTCATTTATCTTATAAGGCGTTAAAGTTAAAATAAACATCTTTTAAAAAAGCAAAATATTTGCTATTAATATTTTGATTATAACTTAATTTGCCTCTATCTAAAAACCAGAGCCACATTTACACATTATACTGTGCCATCGCCATTTCAGGAGAATTGTTGCCATTCTTATATTGTAACTTTTTTATGTTTACATTTGGAATAGTTAAGTAATCAAATTAATTTTACCTTTAAAGTTTTATGTCCTTTGAATTTAAAGTAAGTGCTATTGAGCTGGGGTTGTGGCTCAGTGGTAGAGTGCTTGCCTAGCATGCTTGAGGATGTTCGAACCCCAGCACCACATTAAAAATAACAACAAAGAAAAAAATAAACAAAATAAAGGTATTGTGTCCATCTACAACTAAAAATATTTTTAAAAAATAAAGTGCTATTTTCTCAAGTTTGAAAAAACAGGATTGTTTATGTCTAGTAAATTCCAGTTAAATAAATCCTCTATATTTTAATATGAAAAGATGCTATTATGAGCTTCTAATTTTAGGATAAATTTTATGGTGCCCTGTACATCTTCTTCTGAGTTCTTCTTGAGGTTATTGTTTGCTTGAAAAGGAAAGACTGAAGAGAATATGGTACATATCTTTGAACATTTGGAAGGTTTCTGAAAATCTGCATTTGGATGAGGGATTGAACTGAGCAGCAGTCCCTGTTTTATTTAAGGAGGATCTCAACTCTTTGGGGTGAAAAGATCCTCAGGATAATGAAGGCCCTCACACCAAATTGAGGATGGAAATCTTGAGCAGGGAAAGACATACACATTTGGAAAAGAGGCCAATCAAAAGGCACTCTACTCCCTAAGCCTCAAGTGGCTATGGCCATTTAAGAGGTGGTGAAAAAGTGTACTGAAGCAAGCCATGCACAGTCCATACAGGAAGAAGCTTTGGTGTGAGAACTGTTCTAGGGTAATTAAGACTTATAGAAGGATGTTGCATCTCTTCTGCCTGTTGAGCCTTGTGCTTCTGAGGCACATGTAAAGGTTACTCCACTAGATCTCTGATGACAAT